GGAGCGATAGCACAGCGGGTAGGGCATTTGCCTTGCACGCGGCCGACCTGGGTTCAATTCCCAGCATCCCATATGGTCCCCCGAGCAACGCCAGGAGTAATTCCTAAATGAAAAGCCAGGAGTAACCCCTGTGCATCGCCGGGTGTGATCCAAAAAGAAAAAAATGAAACATGGCATTATTATCACTTAAAACGTTTTATTTATATACATGTTGTATATATCTCAGACCTGGGGCTCAGATCTCCAAGCCTGCTCAGTTTGGGACTGGGCCTCCTCCACTCAGATCCCTCATCTTCTGGTAGCTAGACAGTTACACCTACCAACTGCCATGTAACCCCATCAATGAATGGCCAAGGTCCAGAGACTATAAAACCAAACTCCCGGAAGTGTGCGGTCACATTTGCAGCCGCGTGACCTCTTATTCTCTAGTTCTCACTCTCAGATAACCTGGCAGGCAGCTGAGAGTATCCTGCCTGCATGTATGCCTGACTGGGAACACCAGTAAAGGTGATGAGAGGCTGCCCCCAAAAGCCTCCATCCCTCTTGAAGAGTCTGGCAAGCTACTGAGAATATCCCGCCTACACGGCAGAGCCTGGCAAGCTACCCGTGGTGTACTCGATATGCCAAAAACAGTAACAATGATGGTTCTCATTCCACTGACCCTGAAAGAACCCCCCCAATATGCCATCAGGCTACACTAGCACGTGACAGGGACAAATGGAGACATTACTGGCGCCCACTCGAGCAAATCAATGAACAACAGGGTGATAGTGATAGTGACTTATAGTTGTTTTATTTTTCATATATCTTGCTATTTTGAATGTGTACATATCTATTTGTCTTTTGATATTATTATTATGAGTTGTTTAAAGTTATTTGTTTTCCAAATTATTTTCTGGCGGTGAGATATCTATTTCTTTTATTATGATTTTTCTCTTCATAGTTTTTTGTTTTGTTTGTTTGTACAGCCAGCAGTGCTCAGGGCTTACTCTTGTCTTTGCACTCAGGAATCACTCCTGGTAGAGCTAAGGCAACTCTAGACAGTGTCAGGGATGGAATCTGGGTCAGCAACATGCAAAGCAAGTGTCTTATTCACTGCACTATCTCTCTGGCCCTGTGCTGGCATTCTTAATATACCCTCTAATATTTAAGAACAAGAAGCAGAATTGATTTTCCTGGGGTGGGTCTCTGCTATAATATAAGTAAGTTCCTTGTTTTGGTCTTCCTTGGCATTGGAATACAGACAGGTGTGTGTGTGTGTGTGTGTGTGTGTGTGTGTGTGTGTGTGTGTATGTGTTGAAGGTGAGATGGGAGAGAATAGAGGCACTCATTAAAGGGAGTCGTGCAAAGGCATAAAACTGTGGGTTGGAAGGGATAAGGAGAGGCTGAGAGTCAGGCTGGGCGTCTCCCAGGCCCTCTCCTCTTAGGTCATCCTCCTACTGCTTCAGTTCTTGCCAGACACCCTATTTAATTCCCTTGGATAAACATTCTCTGGAATCTTCCTTGGAGGCAAGTTTGGCTGTGAGAAAGGCCAAGGGAAGGGACGGACACAAGGCTCAGTTACTTTGGCGACTTTGGGGAAGCCTGACTCTTCTCTCACTGTTGTTCCGTTGTTCCTCCCAGCCCAGTGTCTGCCCCCGCCCTTCCCAGCACTTTCTAGGCTGCCCCTTGTCACTCTGGTTTCTCCACATCTTCACCGTTTCTTCTAGGCCAGCACGCGGCAAGGTCACAATGTGCTCAAGGTGCTTGTGCCCCTCCTTCCCATTTTGTGTTTGGTTTTAATCCCAGTATGTCATTCCACAAGGATGGAGACAGGATAGGACTGAGTCTCACATTCTAAATTATAATTCCTTTACTCATGTCTTTTTCCTAAAAATAGAAGCATTTAATGATATAAAACATCATCTGTTCACCCAACTCTGTATTTAACCATTTTGAATCCAGGATTCCACTCAAATGTTGAGACCAAATTTGAAATGAAAGACTTCAAAGTTAAACAGACTGAAAGAAAGAAATCACTATAGGTGCATTTTATAGAGCCTCCCTGAGTAAAAGAAAACAATTTCCCCTTCTCTTTTCTGGAACCAGGCCAGGTGAAAAGCTAGCCCTGCCCAGAGAACATGCCCACAGCTGTTCTGTGGTTCCCTGGCATGACTTTGAAGAACCCTGATTGGCAACATTAACATTTTGGTGGGCTGGAGCGATAGCACAGTGGTAGGGCGTTTGCCTTGCACGCAGCCAACATGGCCGACCTGAGTTCGATTCCTCCACCCCTCTCGGAGAGCCCAGCAAGCTACCGAGAGTATCTCGCCCGCATGGCAGAGCCTGGCAAGCTCCCCGTGACGTATTTGATATGACAGACACAGTAACAACAAAGTCTCCAATGGAGACGTTACTGGGCCCGCTCGAGCAAATCGATGAACAACGGGAGGGCCTTTACCTTTACCTTTTAACATTTTGGTAACCATGCTCAACCTCTTCTGTTCTGTAACCAGAAACAATTTTCCGGCTCTTGGAAAAACTTGCGGGGTGACCAGGGGCCTCCTTCCTTGATGGAAGTGAGAAGGGAAGGAAAGTTAGAGTCAGGAAGCATGGGGTGGGGCAAGGAGTCTAGTCTTCGCCTCAGTGTGCTATAGGAGATCAGGTAAGCCACAGGCCAGGAGGAGGAAACCTATCAGGACCCTGGTTGTGGAGAGATTCAAGGTTGGCTCAGTTTCTGTGGAAAATGAATTCTTACCTGGGGTGGTATAGAAGCAGCTGGTGTACAGTCTAACTCTAGGCATTGCAATTGCAGGCCTGATTAAGGGGTTAAAGGGTCTGTCGCCCTGTTTAGGTTAACCTATATTCAGGCAAGACCTGTGGGGGGGTCTTGCTACTGGACCCAGTTATGACCAAGTCAGCAGATCACAGGCAGCCATGTGTGTGCAGCCTATGACCGTGGAACCGGAGCTTCATCAGAAGCCATCTCCATGGAATAACTCTGTCTGCTCCAGGGCAAGGCTGTGGAAGAGGCTAGTATAAACATTTCTTCATATGTTGAGTTTTCTCATTCATCACTGTCTTTAAATGGCCTTCCTACCTGCCTACAAGGCAACTCCATTTATACTTTTCCAGACAACTCATGTTACTGTGTCTACAGCAGACTATGTCTTGAGTGCATTGTCCCACCTAATCTTTCAGTTTCTTTCTATGGATCACTGAATCCCCAAAACTTAGCCCCCAAACCTCCTTTCATGATCCACATTCTACCACTGACCAGCTGACACAAGCTGACAATGTTTGATCTCTCCTCACCCTGTATTGTCAGTACTGACCCCACAGATCTCTAATTTACATGGTCAGTGTTTCTATCCAGCCGGAAGCATGCCCCTGAAGGGAGGCAGGACTCTGGAGCACAGCAGGGACCTCCTCTTCCACCTTGTTCCTAGGCTTTTGGGGGTTGGGTGATGGCTTTGTGTCATAGCTAAGATGTTGTGTAGACAATACCAGATCATGCAGAGGGAAATTCTCAGCGCTGCACTCCGCTTGCCAGAAGAGGGCGCAGAAAGCACACGGCGAGCTCCTGGAGTGTCACTGGAAACCCTGAACTGCACAGTTGTATTTCTCGGTGGGTCTGCATTCTTAAAGAGCCAGGTTTTGCAGAATGACAGTGTCTTCCTTGAGTTTGCATCCTGGGCCTGGTCCCTGCATCAGTTCTTTTGGGACTTTAGCAATAGGGTGCTTCTGGTGCTGATAACTTTAGGGCTGAATGCCGGATGCCTGATTTCCTCCTCTAGTGACTGAATTGATATTTTCTTGGTGGCTTCTTGAGTAATAATTTATGCAAGAGAGTCCTGAAGTCTCACAGAAGTAATCCATGGAACTAGCTATATTCTCCATTGATCGAATGATCAATGATCTGACTAAACTTTAAACCTAATGACTGATCAGTCGACCTGATCATGAAGTGTGTTTTCCTGTATCTTGTTGACATGCAGGATTACATGATTTGATTTTTTTAAATTGCTGAATGACCTTGCATACATGGAATAAATTCCACTTGAATAATTCTTTCTAGACATGAATATTTTTGATTTACTAAGATTTTGCTGAGGATTTTTGGTTATCTATGTTCATGATAAATAATGGTAGTTTCCTTTTCTTGTAATATCTTGGCTTTCAATATTAGGGTATTATAGAATGAGTCTCATAGAATGAGTATATATCTGCTTCTATTTTCTGAATGACACTGTGGAGAAATTGTCTGATTTCTTTTTTGCTTGTTTTTGGGGCCACACCTGTGTGCAGGGCTTACTCCTCACTCTGTGCTTCGGAAACTTTCCTAACAGTGCTCAGGGGACCATATGGGGGTGCTGGGGATTCAACCCAAGTTTGCCATATGCAACGCTGGTCTCTACCTGCTATACTAGCACTTTAGTCCACAATTTCTTCTCTAGATGTTAGTGAGCCCAGATGTATCTGCTGTTTCATTTGGAAGGCTTTATTAATTTTATTAATAATAAAAATGTCTTTAATAGAGATAGACTTATTCAGATGATCACTGTCAGCATTCCTCCATGAGTATCACAAAACCCATGTCCCTTCTTTCATTTTGATATGATTCATTTGTGTCCTCTTTTTCTCCACTCAGGTTGACTAGATGAGAGGAAACTAGAACCCCCAGGTGTGGTATAGAATGACTTAGCAGAGGTTTCTGGGACAGGAGCAGGAGAAAGGATGCTCGTTGGGATCAGTAAACTCACCATGGCTACCAGTTGCTTAAAGTGGGGATCACCTTGACTCAGATCCAGAAAGGTGGACAGATGACCTACCTAATCCAATGGCCACTGACCATCGCCAAGGGACTTCATAAACACAATTTATGAAACCAGAGGAAGCTTTCAGGCCCATGGGAAAGCTGCTTTTCCCCTAGGAAGTTTAGATGGTCAACTTACTCTAAACTGGGAATGTGATTATTTTTCCTATGCGCTGTGCTAAACTTTACTTCTTGCCGTCCCTAGATCCGGACAAAGGACAGAGTTTTTGACAGCATCAGTCATCTGATCAACCATCACCTGGAGAACACCCTGCCCATTGTCTCTGCTGGGAGTGAACTCTGCCTCCAGCAGCCTGTGGAGAGGAGGATCTGACTGCAGCCCGTCGTGATCTTGCAACTCTCGGCAGGAGTTCTCCAGTCTGCAGATAGAAGGGTGTGGGGCCAAGCAAATGAGACAGGGCCCACAGATTAGGTCTCTGTTGAACAATGCAGGCTTTTATACAGTGCAAGTTTCATAAACTTGTTCCAACTTTTCATGTGCATAACAAAGGTGTACATACCTATACATCCTGTATAAATGAACCCAGTATATTTATATTTTTTAAGACTACGAAAGATGTAAGACTAATGTTCTGTGCTGTATGTGTTCAATGGAAAAAACAGTTCAACTGTAGTTGTCGGGGATAAAAATTTCATTCGATAGACCCATTCCTCTGGGAAATTCCAAGAGGAAGGTGTTGTGGGCAATTTTATGGAGCAAGCATGGCACTAGAGTAGAGGTAGGCTGGAAGATGGTCCACAGACAAGGATTTGAAATAGAATATGGCAAGTGCTGCCCCCAAAGGTCTAGCTTTGCACATAGCCCTGGGGGGCACTGGTTTGGCAGCCACCCTTCGGTGGGACTTTTATATCTTCCTTTCCATATTCCTGGAGGCCATGTCACACCTGAGTGCATTGGTTTCCCAAACCAGGTGGTCTGTGCAGTTGCACTAAAAGTCTGTGTTGCTCCACTAGTTTTGGAACTTACTGAGTCAGAAGCACTGTTTACTCTGACCTTCACTGTCCAGGGGATGGAGGGACCTGATTTACTGCTACACGTGATGTAAAGAGCTTGATGATCAAGCTCTTGACTGGCAAGAGCTTTGCTTGTTTTAATTCATCTAATCACGGAATTTATGCCTGGGGAGGGCAGCTGAGTAAAATCTTGGGTTGATTTCAGGTAAAACTGCTCTCTTCAGAATCAGGGTAGAAGCATATGTGTTTTGGGGGGAAAACAGTAAATGTCTGTGCCCAAGTCTGGTTCTGGGGACATATATCCATAACTGGCTCTTTTTTTTCTGGGGTCAGAAACCAGACACAGTAGTTTTGGAAATCAAAAAGAAGGTTTTGCTCCTGGGCTAATTGGTAGGTAAAGTGACTCAATGTTGTCTCCTGATTTCTCTGTGAATGGGGATGTGCCCCACACAGCACTTGGTTTTGGCTCCATCCCTTTATATAAAACACTGATTTCCTGCTGGGTTATTTGGCGTTAGGAAATAAACTATGTTTATAACTTAAAAAAATTTATGAATTTCGATTGCCATGTGATTGACAGATGTTATCTTTTGAAAGGTAAGACTTATCATTTGTTGGTTATGCCACATGGGTCCTTGTCCCAGTGAAAACCTTGTAGCATGTGGCACCCCCTTGATCATTGCAATAGAAGTCACTCTGCACACACTTCGAATATCATAGTAATTGATGCTTCCAGATTGTGATGTTAAAGGGTAGATTTTAGAAAATTCCAAAGAGTGCTCATTTGCAAAGTCCTGATGCTAAGTGCGTTGTTTTCTGTAGGGTGTGCATGTGTATGTTCATTTGGCCAGGATAGGAAAATAGGGTAGATTTCATGGATGACGCTGGATCACAGTGGATCCACTGTGACCTATCTGTGTTTCTCTGGAGTTTTCGACCTTTGAAGGTCCATAGAATCCAAGATGGCTGTGTCTTCAATCTTCTAGAATGTTCTGAGATGGACTAGGACCCTGGAAACTGTCACTGATTTAGTCCTCCCTCTGTTATCTGGAACAGTTTTGATTTCAGGCACCTTGGAGATCGTCATCCAAAAGCAGAGGGGGCACATCGGGGGCTCAGTGGCTTTCCCCTTACAGCTTTGGGGGACATGGGAGGATGGGGGACATGGGAGGATCTTGCTCTGCTTCCTGGAGGACAGGAGTGGAAATGTGACCCCACTGTTCGGGAGTAATGCGCATACATGTGAGCTTGCACAGATTTCTTTCCTCTCGACCTTCTTGCAGGCTGATTGTGTGAGACCAACTCAATGGCCAGGGCAACTGCAAAAGGAAGAATGAGAGTGAGGTCGTGAGGGCCAGTGAGCCTGACACTTGATCTGATTTCTTTTCCTCTTGGGAAGTTAGGAAACATTCATCTGTGTAACTCTCTCCTGAGCTTTTGCCTAAGAATTGACTGAGAAAATTTAAATTTGGGAGGAGGGAGCAATATTAATTGATCAATTAATTGATGCATCGATATGAATTCAAAACATGTATTAAAATAAAGCTCAGACGATAAGATGGCTCATGATGGAGCAGCGCCAGAGGGGAGGAAGGTGGTGCTTCCTCCAACCCAGCAGGGCAGCTCTGAGCCAGGAAGGCAGTGATTTTAATCTCTTGTCCATCCCATTTGTTAGGTGTATTCAACCTCACATAGTCATTTCGTCTCTTCTTTCCAGGACCATGAGATGGTCCTCACTGTGAGCCTCCTTCACAACTGAGGCTCAGACAATGCCCTACCTTAAAGCAGCAAAGCCTGCAGGGCTGTTCTTAATCCCAGCGCCCCTGAGTGTCTTTGTCCAAATGGGGACCCTTTTCTCAGAGTTGCTAGGATTGCATTCCTACCCAGGAAGATCACCTGAGTGGCGCCCCACTCTACACATCACCTCTGCCTGGGCTGCACCCCATTCTAGGCTACACCCCCAGCCTTATTTGCGCCAGTACTGGGGAGCAGCACATTTCCAGGTGTGAATGCTGTGTACTGGGCCCCCGGGACCCCTGAAGTGCTGGGTGCCTGCTGGCCGCTAGGCCACCCCAGCTTCTGAGCCTACTGAGAGCAGCATGTAGGCCGAGTGGCCCTAGCATGGCCCTTCTTACAGTGGCCCAGGAGACCTCTTCCCACCTGCCCCCTATACAATACTGTTGGAATTAATGAGTCTTCCGGTGCCTGTATTATCTTCCGGAGAGCCTGTGGATCCCTATGGGGCTGCTCATTGCTGTCTAAGTCAGCTTTGATGCTTGAGGACTTCAGAGACCCCTGGACAACTCAGAGACAATCTGATAAACAGCTCATGCCAACAGCTCTCCTTCTAAATCTGAGGCACTATGTGAGAGGCCAAAGGCGAGGGTGCCAGACAACCTTGACATGGCTCACTTGAGCAAAGGTTTTCTGAAGGTTATCTGAGACTGTCGGGGTAGCTGGGGAAATGCCCAGCTCAGTCACTTAGCTAGTTTTCAGGGCATCACTCACCATTACTAAAGACAGAGGGACAGCCACATGGAGGAGGAAGGCCTGGTATACAAGGAAAGGTTGACAGGGATGGGAGGGGGGGAGTCAGCAGTACTTTGGACGAGTCCCCAAAGGTCAACATGCTGGGAACATAGCTCATCAGTGTCTCTGTGGAGTCTTCCCGGGGATCCTGAAGATGTCCTAGCTTCTAATATGTAGAGTTTCCTTCAGGAAGCATGGAATGCTGGCCAGCTCTTACTCCAAGATGCTTCAAAATGATTCCGGCTCTTATTTAGCTGCCTCTGTTGCCCTGTGAAAGCCTGTTAATGTGTCCTGACATGACAGGCCATCCTGGGTGTCGTCTGGTAGAACAGGGTCATGGGGGCCCTAGTTTATTGCTGTGTATCTCAGAGTCAGTGTCTGCATCTGTTTCCAGAGCTGAGCTTCCTTCGCCTGGAGATCGTGGGCCTGGAGATGTGTTCATGCTACTCCGTGACATACGTCCCAGAATCCAGGACATGAGTTTAACGGTGGAGGATTAATAGGCATTTATAACTCCATGCAATCATCGCTGACAGATAAAATGCCATGTCAGCCACACTTTATTTATAATGGGGTTTATACATATTTGCAAGTTTGCAAGCAACAAATGCAGTTTTATAACTGGCACATTTTCTAATAGAAAAATTGCAACTTTATACCTGGACTTGTGAATGTTAATTGCATCTGTGTACACACACACACTCACACACACACACACATACACACATTTGACCTGCACTGATAACACAGATACATGTCTGTCTGCCTGTGTTTATGCAAGCAGGCAACTGTGCAATTTACACCTCTAGACTCCTCTTTGGGTTTTGGTTTAACTAACAAGGACAGCTAGAATTTTGGCTTAGGGACAGACATGTCCTGACAACCACAGACACAGAGGAAAGTCCCAAATATTTTGAGATGTGGGGTCCTAGCACTGAGGGACCAGGAACAAGAACAAGAAGGCCATGGGACCGGGGATCACTGGGAGAAATGGCAAAGGGACAGGAATGGTTTCCTTCAGGCAGCAGGAGAAGCAAGGAAAGCAGAAATAAAGAAGGAAAAGGAATGGAAGGTAGACCAGAAATCCAGACTTACGTCCAGTGCTTACCCAGCAGCATGTAGCTCCGCTCAAAACCTCACATCAATTGAAGGCCAGTGAAGACAGAAAGGAAGGGCAACGTGGTTGAGGGGCCCAGCACAGAGTACTTGAGAAGTGAAAACCCTGTCTTCCAGGGGCAGCTGCATCTGCAGCAAGATGGTGGGCCTGGATGCAGACCCCTCCTGCTCTCATCTCGATATTAGTTCACATACAGGATGTGAGCTGACCTTGCCTCAGGGGGTTTCTGGGAGTACGAAGGCTCTGCAAAGCATGTAGCTGCAGTGTAGGAGTGCAGGGCCCAGAAGGGCAGCAAGGACCTCTCTGAGCATGCAATGTTCAACTTGGATGGGGCGGATGTGAGGCTGTTTTCACAGATACCCTAAATCACTGCAGCCCACAGGCCAAAAACACACAGGGCTCCTTCCTGAGGACTAGAAGAACCATTCTCATGGAAGAAAGTGCAGGAAATGAAATCTTATAAAAGCTTAAGTTTCTACTTTGCTGTTTACCTTGAAATACTATAGATAGAAAATATACGTAAGAGGCACTCTAGGTTCTGATTTTTTTTGTGGGATTTTATCCATACTCACGGGGGACGGTTTTACCACAACCAAAGTTTCTAACCACCAAATCAAGTGACAACTAACCAAGCAGAAATTAATGAGCAAATGCATCTTTAGCACTGAATTAACTTTTTGTAACAACTATGTGTCAGCTGCAAGTGGAATGTTCTCTGTTCATTTGACTTTTGAATATAACTTGTTCCTGAATAAATATTGTAAAATTAAGTACGTGAATGTTCTTTGTATTCAGAATTAAACTTTTGATGTTTAAATCCAAGGATTAGGAGAGAACTCCATGTAAATTTAATGTGTAATAATAAGATATTTATTACTTTTTAAGAAGCATTTGGATGGCAAATTATAGATCATGATAAATATTGTTTGAAAAACTTGTGTTTTGTTTTCCATTACTTTTGTGAAACAAAAAGAATTACCATAAAGTTTCCTGTCTTGATTTATTGCCTATTTACTATTTTTTATTTTTGGTTCGAACAGAGTTGATCTTTGAATATCCCAGAAGGAATGGAAAACCAAAACCAGGTTCAAGTTTTCTAATCTCTGCTCCATGAAAAAATGATCACACCTAAGCTATTTGCATAAGATTTGGGATATGACAAATCAAAGAATGAAGAAAAGTGGCTTAAATTTCCTCACCTTATGAATCCGCTTTGCTCCTTTATGAAATGATGTGGTTTCTGTTTGAAACCCTCAGGACAAGCCTACTGCAGCCCTCGGCTTCTGGGGGAGCCAGCGGAAGTGGCCACAACACCCCTGTGTATTACTATTGCGGCATCTGAGAGTGGGGAGCAGACACGTTAGGCAATGCTGCACTTCTTATCATTGGTTATGGGAAAATGTGCCTTCGTTTTCAGAATAGCAATGTGTGCATTTCTGATTATGTAGCAACCCTCTGATTTTTGACTTAGATACTAACATTTGGGTGTTGAAGTTTCACACTCATAGATAAAGTTTGACAGCATGGACTTGGTAATTTAATTTGAAGTTTTCTATAAAACACATCCCTTACATTTCTGAGAAATGCTCTATACCAGTGCAGCATTGCCAATGGTCAAGGGCAAAGAAAAACACCATTTTCTAAATAGTTTGTTGTTTAAATGACTGTCCATGTAAGTCTGTTGGCAATAAAGTATTGTGAAAAGTCTTTCATTTGAATGGTGGATAATTGCATGGCCTCCCAAAAAAACAGGGAAGCTTGAGACCTTCCTGTAGATAGCAGATATTCTGTTCATCTTCAAGAGACTTCGAAACAGAGTCAGACAAAGCCCTGAATGGTGTGCCAGAGTGGGAAATGCAAATACAGACTTGGCAGGAGTCAAGGCTAACCTTTACCACGTAGCACTGGAGTTGACTTTGGGTACAACCAAAGGCTGAGGTCTTGGATATTGTTGGGACATTTCTTGAGGCATATCCTCTCCAGAATATCAGGCCAAACACCTATCTCTATGGACATAGAACAGAGGCTCAAAAACTTGAATTAGGAGAAAGGATGGGTTCTTACATTTTCTTCTGTGGCAAATGGAGTAGAACCAAGTGTCCATCTGTCTGAGCCACACTCTGACTGTCATCACACTGGTGATTCTCTCCCTATCGAAGGGTAATCAAATGACCTCTGCCCAAACAGTTCGCCATATCAAAAGAGGTGGAATAGCACGAGCACACCAGAGTTTAACTAGAACACTTTCCTGTTAATGGGAACATGGATAAAGATTGTGGGTCATTCTCAAAGTGATTTAATTCCCAGAGAAACTCTGGTTCCAGGGGAAAATCTAGGCTGCCACTCCATACTCCACCAAATTTAACCCTAGTAAAAACAAGCTCCCACAACAAACCCAAAGCAGTTTATACAAGGGCACCAGGCTTTATTTTATTTTTTAATTAACATACATTGGACATAATAGAAGTTAATTTATGAACTGAATGAGATCAAATGCAGCTTCTCTATGGCTTTTAAACACACAACTCTAAATGTTCTCTTGAAGGCTAGTGAGAAAGGTTTTCATTGATACTGATGTACTTTTTTTCTTGCATATGTCAAATATACTTCACCTAAAGAGTATTTTTAATTCAGATTTTGGGAACCTGTTTATAATCTTAGAGAATTTGGATTATGATATAAAATGTGATTAATAAAATAGAGATTCAATGGCCCCAATACCAATCAGAACTAACATAAGTTGTCAAAACTCATTTTCTGACATAATCAAAATGGCAACACCCAACCTTTTGTTCTGCTGATGAACTTTAAAATTTTTTGGACCTTTTAGGTCATACCTGGTGATGCTTATAGGTTACTCCTGGCTCTGCACTTAGGAATTAGTCCTGATGGTTTGTGGGGGGTCATATGTGGGATGTCAGGGATCGAACTGGGATTGATTGCATGTAAGACAAACACCCTACCCTCTGTATTATCACTCTAGCCCTTTTAAAAATACATTTTTTTAAAAATTTGTTTTCTCCACTCAGTACCTTAAGGTTTAGATTTTGAAGAAGTGCCTTGGGATTTCTCAAGCTATTTGACAAGAGAATAAGATGCTTTATGATTATGTAAACAGACAACAAAATGCCACTGACAAATGTCTCTATACATACAATATTTATTTGCTATTACATATTTTTTAAAAAAGGAACATCATTGGTCAATGGATGAAGATGACAAATTCCCATGGAAATGTTCCTCAATTAAAAAGAACTCGCACCTGATAACAAGACCATTTCTCCTGGAAAAAAACTAGCATATAGGATTACTCTTTTAGTTTGTACTCAGGCAATTTGTCACTGAACCCAAGAATCTCCAGGGTCTCTGGTGGGAGGAGATTTCCCTAAGATTCCTTTTGAAGGCCGTTTGTTCTATTTTGACAGATAACTTAACACGTCACCGCAGTAGTTATGGGAGCTTAACCAGCATGCGTTTCATGGGTCTATGCTGTGCTGAGGCATGGATACTGTCTCAGGAACCCCTTTACAAGGTAAACAAAGGAAGCAGGTTGAACTCCTGTTGAAAGCAAGAATGTATAGTATCACTTGCACATCGCTACGTCTCTCTGACATGTGCAATGCCCTTTCCTCACTGACAATCAACTGCTCTGACAGTTGCTTCCAGGTTGCTTTTAGGAAGTCTGAGAATCTGCTAACAGTCCCAGATCTGCAGCTGTGACAACATGCTGCTTATTTACTTGCTCATTTTTCTGAGAAGAGTCAGACTTAATAGATAACTGAAAGGTGGGCTTGTAAACCTCTCTGAACCCAAAGGAAACCTCCTATTACATTATAGAGCACTGCTCCTGTGACCCAGCTATGGCTGGCTTCCTGGTTCTCCTGAGCAGGTTCTTTCCTAGGTTGGTCTAGGTCACAGGCTCTTGGCATAAAGTGGCTGACTTCTCTGTGATTTGGAGAATACCCCCAACTTGCAAACACCCAAGCAATTCAACTTCTGGATGTGCTTGTACTGGATCAGGTCAGATAAGAAGTAGGGATGCCCTATTTGGTCTTCATGGCCTTCAATGCCTGCTTCACTGAGAATCTGGAAGCAACTGGACCACCATGTCCAGCTATTTCAAAGTCACCTCATGTCCCTGGAGGTTCAGTCAGATGTACTGGAATCGCTAGCTGTGGAACAGTGAGGGCCCTTTTACATGTATGGATGGCAGACTCTTGAGACTCACGGGCTCTGTAATAGAAATATGATGAATACACAAGCATGCATTCTCGGTATGGTCTGTGCTAAATTACCAACACATCACCCTTCTGTTCTGAGAAACACGTGGTGTGTCCTGCAAACCACATCCTTCTCTGTTTAGAAACACTGGGGCCAACTTCAGGGCGGGAAGCTGGTGACAACATCAGGAACTCAGGACACTCGAGACTCTGAAGCCACTGAGGCAGATTATCTACACTCAATCAGGCTCTTGAGTCCTGTGATCCCACCTTGAGAGAAGGTTACACCTGCGGTTGGTCCAGTAGATTTTGTGGGTTCTAGCAGTGGGAGCACCCACAGGGTGAGGCAGGCAATAAATATAATGGAGCTTGCAGAGCTGGGTGCTGCTCTCCCTGGGATCTGAACGTGTGGAACGGAAGCTCCCAGTTTCTTCAGGCCGGTGCCCTTACTGGCAGAGAATCCCGTTCTGCAGGGCTTTGTTTCTGTCCATGATGCAGGGCAAGGCTGTCTGGGGGAGGTCTTCCTTGCTCTTGGAGGCGGGGCTGCTGTTGTTGCTGCCGCTGGATTTACTTCTGTTGGGATCCAGAGCAGGCTGGGGAGGGAGGGAGCATGCCCCCTTACCCCGGACCAGACAGTTGCACACCAGGCGGAAGAAAGCTCGGCGCATCTCCTTGCTGGCCAGGGTATAGATGACGGGGTTCATGGCGGAGTTGAGCACTGCCAGCACAATAAACCACTGCGCCTTGAACAGCACAGGGCATTCCTTCACCCTGCAGGCCACGTCCACCAGGAAGAGGATGAAGAGCGGTGACCAGCAAGCGATGAACACACTCACCACGATCACCACGGTGCGCAGGAGCGCCATGGAGCGCTCCGAGTTCTGGGGGCTGGCCACCCTGCGGCTGCTGGACTTGACCAGGAAGTAGATGCGCACATAGAGGATGACGATGGTCACCAGGATGGCCATGAAGATGCTGATACAGAAGGCAATGTACTTCTTGGAATAGAGGGGCAGGATGGTGGAGCAGTCCGGGAGGTTGTGCAGGCAGTTCCAGCCCAGGATGGGCAAGGCGCCCAGCGAGAAGGCAATGAGCCAGCACATCCCAATGAGGAGAAAGACCCGGTATTTCTTGTTGGCGTCATAAGGTCTCATTTTGATCATGGTCAAGTGTCGCTCAATTGCGATGGCCAGTAAGCTGCAGGTGGAGGCCCCAAGGGCCACAAACATGCTACCTTCTCGGAGAAACCAGACGGTGGGAGAAAGGCTCAACGTCTTCTTGCCGGACATCAGGATGTTGACCTTGTAGACGATGCCGGCCAGCAGGTCGCACAGAGCCAGGTTGCCGATGAAGAAGTACATACGATTGTGAAATTTGTGGTTTTTCCAGATGGCGATTAAAACCATCAGGTTCTCCAAGACAATGAGGCTGCAGATGATCAGGAACAGCACGGTGGTGAGAGTGCTGCCCTCGGGGGCATCTTTTAGCCTGCCCTCCAGCTTGCCCACGTAGTTGTAATGCTGGTGCAGAGTGCCGTTCCAGGGGGAGGAGCCCGGGAGTGAGCTGAGCACCATGGCCATCACTTGGAATTCACAGACTTAGCTCCAAAGTCCAGCAGAGGGCGCCCTGGGAACGTTCATTTTCAGGGAAAACAAAGACCCTGGCTCAGGCTTCCTTGGTGATGCAAGCCAAATCCCCGCTGGGTTGTGGAGAACAGGCCCCTGCAAGGAGATAAAAGGCGGCAGCCCTGTGATGAGGTCTAACCACCCCGAATTCAAACAGCCGCAAAACTGGAGAAGGTGCCCAAGGCGCCGAGACCTTCAGATGCTGCTGCATAAAGGCCTCGGGTGGGTCCCCAGCACCCACCAAAGTGGCTTATGCAGAGACCCCGCAGGAGAGTTGGGAGCCTGAGGCTATCAGGAAAGGATTTCTAACTGGAAACCTCCAAAGGCTCCAAGGAATGCTGATCAGCTGATTCCCTCTACTGCATGGAGTGGGCAAATTGTGTCTCCCATTGAGCCGGAGAGAAGCAGGGTATGGAACTTACGATGTTCCAAATGGGGCCCCCTGGACTATGACACCTCTTCAGTGATATCTGGAGCAACCACAAGGATAGAAGTGCTTCCCCTGGTTTAGGGCCTGTGACAGAGAAAGGCAGAGCCCAGAGATCAAACCATCACACTCACTCAAGGAACAATAGGAGGACCCAGGTGGACACAGGCCACTGTGATAATGGCTGGCAGAGAGTGTGGAGTCAGGGAAGGAAAGAAGTGAGTCCACTTCTGTTGAGGTTCAAGGAAGAAAGTAAAGCAGTGACAGGTATGTAAACCTCCAGAGTGCCTTCAAACTCAGGACCCCGAACATCAGAACTGACTGGAGCCCAGAACTGAATGTAAGATGTAAGAACTACATTTAAGCCAAAAGATCTCAGCCTGGTGACACTCATGGGACATGAACCTAGAAGCCAGACCCTCCTGTGGCCCTGATTTCTGTTCCTTTCTTGCTAACCCTGAGACCACCCACAACACTGGAAACAGCCACTGACTTCCTGGAAGCTCAAGACTTTCAGTGGACTAGATGATTTTGAACTTAATTGACTGGAATACATAAAGATCTAATTAAGATTAAATGAGGTTAATTGAAGGCATTTTGAGTATACAGTGCATAGCCCTGATTTGGTGGAAGACAAAGGCTTATTCTCCAGTGACATGAGCTCTGCATGCATTTTGGGAGAGGGAGGATGTATACCAAAGGTCTTGTCTATCCGAAGTCCATTCCTCAGGCATAAAGCGGGTTAGTCCCTGAGAGGAATTAAGAGCTAGATACTCCATGGATGAGGAGATTCTGGACTGTTTTCTATCCATCGTATATCCCTGTGGTTTGGTTGTGACCCGGATGTGATCCTCAACTCCACCTTCATTTGAGTGACTCTGGTTCTCTGAGTTCAGCTGTTCTCTGCAGAGCTTTCTCTGCAATATCTGAGGCTGTGGTGAGCTGACATCTGCATGCTGCCTGGAACTGCCTGTGGACCCCAGCTGGTTAGAGAGACCTTGGGAGTCCACCTGACACCTTTTTTAACTTCAAAGGGGAAAAGAAGGCTAGGCCTGAGGCTAATCTGGTGCTAGAGAATGGAGACTGCAGGACTCGACTACATTCCACAGTTGAGGTGCCCATGGAAGGTGTGGGGCTCTGCCTCTCCTGATCAAGGTGCACCCATATCAGGGGGATCTCACCACCTTGAGCAGAGGAAGGGCCCCCCGACCCCTTCCCTGGCTCCCCACCTGCCTGGACTGAGATCTGTCAGTGGTGGCCTAGTGAGGTCTGGAGGTCAGACCAGGTTCTCTTGAGGTCTGTGGATCAGCTCGAGGGTTGGGGAGTGTGTGTGTGTGTGTGTGTGTGTGTGTGTGTGTGTGTGTGTGTGTGTGTGTGATATCTGGAGCAACCACAAGGATAGAAGAGCTTCCCCTGGTCTAGGACCTGTGACAGAGAAAGGCAGAGCCTTTCTCCAGTGGAGCCTTATTCCAGATATCACACACACATGCAGGGGATGCCACATTTTCTACTAGCTGTCAGCTCACTGGACCACCCTCCTTTTTACTTAAATTTTGTCTGTCCTTCCAGCCCGTAGTCAAATTCTATCTTCCCTTTAACATTTTCTGGAACCAGTTCAGATTTTCTCCAATATTGACCACCACTTCTTTGTTCATTTGTTTATTTGGGGGTCACACTCAGTGGTCCTCAGAACTTAGGTGATGCCAGAAATTGAACCAGGTTGGTCATGTGCAAGGTAATTACTATAACCCCTGGGCTCTCTGGACCAGCAGACCACTTTTATTTAGTTAGTTAGTTTTTGTTTGGGGACCACACCTGACGGTGCTCAGGGCTTACTCTTGGCTCAATGTTCAAGGATCCTGGTGGTGCTCAAAGGAGCACATGTGGTGCTGGGGATTTGAACTAGGTTGGTAGCATTCAAGGCAAATGCCCTATTCCCTGTACTGTCCCTTAGACCCAAGATTGTTGTTATCATGGTGCTAATTTTTCTTGTTTCCTGATTCTTTTGGAGCTGCCCTATCTTTACAAAAGGTCTGTCTGAGTATGCAAGGGAAGGACCAAGTGGAACCCATGGCATCTTTAGTTGGTTTGATGGGTTTGATCCCTGGCATCCTATATGGTACCCTGAGCCCTGCCAGGAATGATTCCTGAGTGTAGAGGCAGGAATAAGTCCTGAACACTGTCAGTATAATCCCCCTAAACAAAAACAAGCAAATAACAACCATCCGACCACCATAAAAACAGAGAGAGACATTCCACAGACCTGCCCAAACCACCCATCTTGAGGGTGATTATACCTTCCCATTAAGGCTTGGTTTATCATTTCCCTTCATTAAATATATACCAGTAAGCATATTTTTAGCACATCTTTTGTTAAGTGTGAGGATATACATTTTGTGTAACTAGGTGGTATCTCACTCCATCTCTTGAGCATCAGGAGAAAGTAAATCCCATTCTGAGTCCCAGGCTCTGGGCCAGATAGATTGTGGGTATATCTGAACACTAATGCTCTTGGGTCAAACACCTCTCAGGATCGAGGTTTGGTCTTCACCCTGGGCTTTTCAAAAGGCTCTGAATTTGCTGGAGGAAACTGGAGCTTCCCCTGTGGCCACCCTCCCCGACCCCAACCTCTGAGGGTCAGTGAGAAGCCAGTCACTGTCACTGCAAGTCATGGCAGAATGTTCCACCGGGCACCACAGGCACATGGGAAGTTAGCCTCTCCCACCCTACAGAGGAGGTTGATGCCCATAGCCTCCCTGAGACCTTTCCTACACTTGATCAGTGAGAACCACTATCTGGGCTTCACATTTCTGAAACTACTTCTGCCTGATCCTGACCATCACAACAAAAGTTCCCTAAGGCTGACAGCTGTGCTGGTTTTTGTTGTTGTTGTTGTTGTTGTTGTTTTTCCTGTTTTGAAACCATACCCAAGGTGTTCGGAGCTTACTCCTGGCTCTGTGCTCAGGGATCACTTCTGGAGATGTTCGGGGCACCATATAGGATGCCAGACATTGAACCTAGGTCAGCCATGCACAAGGCAAGTGTCTTACCCAGTAATGACTTTCTGGCCTGTGTGCTGGTGTTTCTCCATTTGCAACCTGCTGGAGACACTGGGGATTCATCTCAGGGCTCCTGGGCCACTGTCCACTGTTTATTCTCCATATGATCCTATCCACAGTGGTGGTGCCAGGAGGGCTGAAGGTGCCTCTCTTTGCCAGCACTGCCTGCCTTCTGTGGCTTCCTGGATGTCCAATCACTGCAGGGCAGGGTTTTGATGTGAGGGTCCCTCTGTGAGCTGGCACTGGGCACCCTGAAGTCTGGTGACCATTGGGAGCTGGAGACATTTTCCACAAAAACAGACACAGACTGTGAGATGGACACAGGCAAATGCTCCCAGCCTATTGAACTGCAAAAGGCGGCAGGATCTACTCTCTGCCTCGTCCTCATATAGGGTTTCATCACTGTTGAATTTCTACTCTACAACCTTAAGTTGAGCAATGTGGCTATGTACTGGCTCATCACCTCCATCTCTGAAAGCCAGATATGTAATAGAAGATACTAGGGCCCAGAGAAGCTTGTTATAGACACTCTACAGTGCTCACCCACCCTCCTACACCTGACCATCTGTATCACCCTTGCCTTCATGAGATGTGCTGAAATGACCTGGTCTCTCTGGTGCTCCTGTACTCACCCTGAGTAGGGATTTGGTGGTCTTCATGTTAGGGGAGGTACACAATCCAGGGCCCCCATTCCTCAGATTCACCCCAGAGTCCTTCAGAGTTTTTGTTCCAGATGCATTAAACTGTAATATTCCATTCTTTCTCAAGACATATGGATGCCAGGTTCAGATTTTTTTTTTTTTGCCAAGAAGAAATAAGATGCTTTCTAGAAGGCCCCTTGGTATGTGACCCCAGGTAGACTCTGTCATATCAGTGGGGGGTCCACTCCCCCGTTCCAAAGAGCATCCACCGGGATGGCCAGCTGGAAACTGACCGATGGATTCCAGATGGGCTTTCCATGCTACTGATTCACTTCCTCGACAACATAAGTTTGAAAACTAAACAAAAGATAAAAAGGAGGAGAAGAAAAGCCATAGAGGAAAATATTTCTACAAGGTTGAGAATCTGTCTCTCTCCCGCTCTCTCTTTCTCTGTCTCACTGGAATGACAATAAAGAAAAGCTCAAGCTAGACAGTGCAAAGAAGAATACAGGATGCTGTAGTTTTCAAAGGTCTATCCTCCCAGGAAAATCAACTCACTCCTCCAACTTTAAATAGTCAAACATTGTCCAACAAGCAAAATTTCTTGGAAAGCAAGATTTTTTTTTGTTTGCTTGAAAGAATTTAAAAGGAAGTAGAGTTGGCCATGACTTGGCCCTGCAAAAATTCCTCTGCTAACAAGCACGTCCTCTTGCTCTGGAATCCTTCTGAGATCCCACTGTGCTTTGAGGGGTAGTTTAAGGCCAGAGACTTCACATGGACAGCCTTCGCTGCTTAATATTTTCTCTAGGCCTGGGCTTTTAGTGGAATTACAGTTAGAGAACCAGTGTTGCAGATGAGATAAGAGAAAATCTCCACTAGGAGCGTAGAAGTGAATTAGGCCCCTGACTGACCACCCTGCTTTTCAGTACTTTTTCTCCCTGTTATTCTCTCCACGTACAAGGCTCAGTTGTGAAAGCACAGTTAGGCACAGATGCACACTTTGCCCACCAGGCAGCCTCTCTGGATGCCCAGGTTTGTCTATTAGCAGCAGCTCCTTTGGATACAAGACCTTCCACCCTCTGTCTTTCTGTCTTTTCTCTGCTTGTTCTACTTGAGGGCACAGGATTGAATTCCTACCAAGATGGTCATGACAAGTGAAGGTGGAGACCAGCTCCTGGAGGCCGACACAAGGAAGAGATGATCTGCCCTTGAGAAAGAGTCCTTTCCCAGGACAGTGCTTGGACTGGTGATTTGGCAGGTGCACAGGCCCTCTAGGGCACCATAATGGTCTCCCCACCTGCCTCTGCAGGTAACGGGAGGAAACTACAGCTGGGATGGGACTGCTCCTAGAAACACAGCTCTACAGGACTTGTGCTGGTCCAGATGTCTGTGTCATGGGAGACTGTGACCACATTAGGTACACATTCTTCTGGAGGCTAGCACTTACCTCCATGCTCCTCTCCCAGATGTGACAAAGGCATTACCTGAAGGTTGCCACATTCTTTTCTAGCTACCCTGATAGCCAAATGTTGGGCTGTTTTTTCTTTTCTTTTCTTTTCTTTTTTTAAGTTTTTTGGTTCACATTAACGGATGCTCAGCGATTACTCCTGGTTTTGCACCCAGCAATTTTGCCTGGCAGTGCTCAGGGAACCATATGGGATGCCAGGATCGAACCTGGGTCGGGTGCATGCAAAGCAAGCACTTTCCTCACTATACTAGCTCTCCAGCTCAAAATGTTGATTTGAGACTCCCCTGAAACTTTGGAAGAACTCTCCTGGCTGAAAAACGCGAAGTCGTCTTGAATAATAGCCTTGTGGACTAATGCAGGACTCTCCAAGATCAAGGGGCCGATGGGACACCAAATCCACCTACTGGTATACTATTCGCTTCACTAACATTTTTCACTCTTCTACCTGCTCCTGCTACCTTCTTCTAGAGGTAGCTCCCACTTTGCAATAGTAACGAAAGCAAAGCAAAGGTTCTAAACAGCCAGTAACTGTAATCACAATAAGTGAATGTACCATTAGCTAAAGTTAGAAAGGACATCATCCAATGCAGTCAAAGCTAGGGAGAAATCTTTTTCCTTTTAGTTTTGGGGCCACAGCTGGATGTTCTTGGGGCTTTCTCCTGGTTCTGAGCTCAAGGATCACTCCTAGGGGTGTATGGGGAACCATATGGGGAGCCAGGATTCAAACCCGGGTCAGCTGCATGCAAGACAAGCACCTCGCTCTACTATCCCTAGTATTTATCTATCCCTAGAATCCACTATCCTTCTCTTGGCCCTAGTAAGACATCTCTTAAAGCAATTATTCAACAGAAGGAAAAGAAATAATCTAAAGTCATTCCAAAACTAGTAACAAAGGAACAGTAAGACTAACTGCAAGGAAATTGGCTTCTGGAACTTGAGGGACCAGGTCTGAGTTAACATAAGGAAGTACTTGAGGGTAGTTGGCTGGTTATGCCATGGTTTAATCATAGTCCACAGAGTTGGAAAAACAGTGGGGTTCAACAATAGAACAACCCCAATTTTATTAAAGATGAAGTCATGCTCAGTTATCAATTTTTTTGGTCAAAGAGTATATGCCTATACTATAGGGATGAATGGTTTGAAGTTCTCAATCTTTTGGTAATAAGCATATATGCCTATGCTGTAGGAATTGATAGTTTTAGGAGGTGAAGGAGGAATTGTGGAATCAATTTTGTTTAAACATTTCCAAATAAAGGAAACCGATACTGAAATTGGAGAAATAAAGTCATCGGGCCAAGAAACATAAAAGGGCATAGCTGTGCTCTGCATATATGGCAGACAATTTCAGTTAGTTAAATCTACAAATTTATACAGGAAAAGGACAGACTCAAAGATAAAAATTTGCTGAGACACACTCTAATTGTCTAACAGAGGAGACTGCCATGGGCTCATTTTGTGTTGTAGAAATCAGTGGCAGGTGGTCGGAATCCACAGACCAGCAGAACCAATGTGGTGCTTGTGGAGAAAAACCGACTCTGTGGTTGTCTGATGGGACCGCATCATTCTAGCTGGCACTGAGCTTTTATTACATTATTTCAGTAAGAAATTGTACAAGTCTGGACAATGCCATTATCTCTGGGAGCCCCACACCACAACACCACCAGCGGCAGCAACATCTCTTATCCCAGCCATGAACAAAACATCCGTCTTGATCATAAGCACAGGACCTAGTCTCACACTAGCATCTCCAGGAATTCTAATTTTCTTAGCCATGCCTGCAGTATTTTTTATCAGTAAAAAACAGAATGTGCCAATGGTCATTTGATTCCCATGCACCTATGTTTACTTTATCTTCAGATTTGTGTATTACACTAAAAAAAGAAAAGAAAAAAAGAAAAACCTAAAAGAACACACCACCGACAAGAGATTTCTCTCTTGCATCTAAATATAAAAGACACCACAGAAAAATCTGTCATTGTAAATGAGGGGGAGGGGAGAGACAGACAGACAGACAGACACACACACACACACACAGATTTTGGGTCACAAGCTTTCAAGCTAAGTTTCCAAGTTTTCCTCTATCAGACCAGAGAAGGACAAGTGTGGACCTCTGCTTCATTTATAAAAGCACACACTGACTGCCACCCGTCTTTCTCCCTGGGTAGAACTGTACCTTCCAACTTCCATTTGACCCTTTTGAGGTACAGAGGCAAATAGGGCATTTTGACAAATCAAACTGCAATGAATGCTTTTCCCGGAGAACATCTGCCACCACACACTTTGAGAGACCCAAGTGCTCATTCTGGGAGGTGCCTAGTTTAGGACGGCCTCTCTCTCCTCCAGGAGAAGACGCTACTCCCTTTGTGTTTGTTTTTGGGCCACACCCGGAGGTGCTCAGCGTTTACTCCTGGCTCTGCGCTCAGAGGTCACTCCTCACGACCCTCGGGGTACCTGAGGGGCTCCGGGTATCAAACCCTGGACGACTCATGCTAGGCAAGCGCCCTTCCCGCTGTACAGTCTCCCGGTCTAGATGCTCCTTAATTTTAAAGGCTGCAATCACAGCAGAAACGAAGTATCCCTTGCCCTCTGCCGGGTACCTCACCGGAAAGGACCGCCCGGGGCTGGGGCGAGGCTGACGGGGTGCACGCGCTCAGCCACGTCACGACTGCGCCTGGAGCCTCTGGAATTTGCAGAGAAAAATTGTCCCCAAGGTCCGCACCCGGGGCCGGGCGGCCGCGTGTCCCGGCTCCCAGTTGCTCACCTCGGGCTGGGTCTGGGACGGCCGCTTGGGCCAAAGGCATCCTGGCGCCTCCGCTCCTGAGCCGAGCTGGGACTCGGATGGTCCTGGAGTGGGTTCTCGGGTGCGGAAAGTCTCGGTCCTGCTTGTCCTGCCACCACTGTCGGCTCCGGCTCCCTGTCGCGTGTCCCCGGGACCAGGCACTCCGCATCTGCAGAAGAAGCCAAGAGCAGACAAACTTTTCCAGCGGCCCTCGGGGCGGGGCCCGCGTTCTGCCTGCCTCCTCGTCCCGCCCCTCTCCTTGCACCCTTCTCCCTGCGCCCTTCTCCCGGCCCTTCTCCCGGCCCCTCTCCCTGCGCCCCTCTCCTTGTCCGGCCCCCTACTCGATCTGCACCCCTCTCCCTGCACCCCTCTCTCTGCACCTCTCTCCCTGCTCCCCTCTTCCGGCCCTTCTTCCCAGCTTTCTCCAGGCCCCCTCCCTGAGCCCCTCTCCTTGGCCAAACCCACCCTGCGCCCCTCTCCCTCCCCTCTCCCTCCACCCCCTCCCTGAGCCCCTCTCCTTGGCCGAACCCACCCTGCGCCCCTCTCCCTCCACCCCCCTCCCTGAGTTCCTCTCCTTGTCCGGCCCCCTACTCAACCTGCCCCCCTCTCCCTGCACCCCTCTCTCTGCACCTATCTCCCTGCTCCCCTCTTCCCGCCCTTCTTTCCAGCTTTCTCCAGGCCCCCTCCCTGAGCCCCTCTCCTTGGCCGAACCCACCCTGCGCCCCTCTCCCTCCCCTCTCCCTCCACCCACCTCCCTGAGCCCCTCTCCTTGGCCGAACCCACCCTGCGCCCCTCTCCCTCCCCTCTCCCTCCACCCCACTCCCTGAGTTCCTCTCCTGGTCCCGTCCCCAGTACTCACCCTGCGCCCCTCACCCCTGCAAACCCTCCCTCCGCCCCTCTACCCGTCCTTCACCCCGCATCCTCCTCCCCGGGCCAGTCTCCCCGTCCCTCTCCTGGCCCCTCTCCCATAGCTCCTCTCCTTGTCCCCCCGAGCTCACTCTACGTCCTGCTTCATCTCTCCCCACTGGTCCCTGCGCCCCACTTCCCCGCCAGGCTCTCCATCTCTCTCCTCCCCAAATCTCCGCGTCCCCCCTCTCCTCTCCCTTCCCCCAGATCTCACTTCACGCCACACCCGGTGCGGTCCCTACAGACCCTCCTTCTGCCTGGGGCCCCTCGCCCACCTTCCTTTCTCGGGGCTCTTTAACCCCCTGACCCCCAGCTCTGGTCGGGACTCCCCGTCCAGCCATCTCCCCACGCCCAACCCCAGCACCCATCCCTGTAGGGGCCAGGACGCACTGTGCCCCTCCACGGAGTCCTTGAGGTCCTTCAGCTTCTGACCCTGTACCTGGGTCCAAGCCGGAGCAGGTTGGAACTGCGTCTGGGCGGCCGCTGAGTCGGCGCCGGACGTTTCTTCAAGCAGGCTTTGAGCGGTTATTAGTATTCCGATCACTGTTATCATAGTGAAATGCTTGGCCATTTCCGTTGGGAATCGAAGGCCCCGCCGGCCTTGGGGTATCAGCTTCTGGCAACTTTTAGTTTCAGCCTTGAGGGTCCCAGACCCGAGAGGTCACCCATTCCCAGCCCGCTGGAGCAGCGCTGAGCGAACCCCGCTGACAGCGCGGGGGCCCCATGGGCTCGGGAACTCTCCCCTTCTGGGCAGAAGGTACAGGGGTAGCGCTTCCAAGGGAAAGAGCCCCAGGGACTAGGCGACCACATTTCAGTAGGAGCCAGAAAGTGAAAGTTCCAGTAGTGAACACAAAAAGGGGCCTCGAAGCGGGGAAGCGTGGGGGGCGGGTGAGAAGGGGAATAAAGGAAAAGGACAGGGAGAAAAAAGAGAGACGCGTCGGAAAAAGAATAAAGTCACCACCTATATAAATAAAGTCAGCACTCCTGACGATGGGAGTGGGGCCTGAGGGGGGTCCGGAGGGAAAATTGGGGGTGGGGGTCAGACCAGTCCTTGGTTCGCTCTCCAGCTCCATGCACATCCTTCCCGCTATGCTGAGAATTTTCAGGCTACAGGGTGGGCTGTCCAAGCCCTGGGCCTTCTCTGCTGCTGGGTTTTGGGCTGAGAAAGCCCAGCCCGCAGAACAACGTCAGTGCCTGCCCTTGGAACTTGTGACGGGGATGCGGCAAAGCTGGGGTTTGCACTTGGTGGTCATGGAGAGCGGGTGGCAGAAATGGGATCTATCCTTGACTTTCACAAGAGGACACTGCTATCACCAGCTCGGGCCATTGTGAAATTAGTTCTCTCTAAATGGGGTGGGTTGTGCCTCCATTTCCTGCCTCCTCCAGAATTAAGGAGAAGATGTTGCTGCTTTGCCAGGGTACCAGAATACAGAAGCAGAAAACTGATGTGATTCTTTGCTTCACATGTCCCCAAGGAGACTTGGGGAACTGCAGGACATTTTGGAATCTCCTCATTACACAAGACTTCTTTCCTTGAAAGATTCCCGCCTCTGAGTTCCAGTCTCTCATGATGTCCTGGCTCTGACCCAGGTCCCATCCCTGCTTGCTCTGCAAATCTAGTCATAAAGGAATCTTCCCCTGGAGAACCCAGAAAACCAGTCCTCCCTGAGACTATTGAATTGAATGAACTCTCCTTTGCATGGCTTCTAAACATTCTTAGGGAAGGAAGAACCCGGTCTCATACACGATGAAGCTTGAGGGAGTCAGGGAATCCCCAATCTGCAGTGCTAGGTGAAGTCATGGACGAGTTGAGCTGATTGAGTGCACACGGAGGTAAAGGTGTGGAGAACCAGTTCACAAGGCTGTGAACTGGAGAAGAAAAACATTCTCCACTTGCAGGGGATACAGCTGTCTGTCTTCACCTTTGCAAAGGGTCAAACCTAACGCCACTTATGTGGGACAACCTGACATTATGTGGTAGAGAATCTGGCACACGCTTCCAAGGATGTGTTCTTGTAAAACACACTGAACTTGAATCCAAGGTCAGTAGGGTAGCCTGCACTTCCGGTTTCCAGGAAAAAGACAGGGACACAAACTACACAGCATGGGGAGACCCAGTACACTGTCCTAGGAGTAGCATTGGCCGCTCCTACAAAGAATAAGGACAAGAGTAGGAGTGTTTTAGAATCAAAACTTGTGCTGAAAAGAAGGAATGTTCCAGCAAGGAGCATGGATCTTGATCAACTCCTGGTTCAACTAACCAACCTGAAAAAATTTGAGAAATATTCCTGTACAAATTCAAAACTGAATGATGCTATCAGAATGATGCTTAATATTATCTGGTGTGTTAATAACACTGTACCTATTGAGGAATATGACTTACGTTTTGTTTTGGGGTTATATTTGGCAGTACTCAGGGCTTACCCTGACTCTAAGCTCAGTGATCATTTATGATAGGGCTTGTGGGACCATATAGGGTGCCAGATATGAAACTGGGGTCAGTCACTTGCAGAGCAAGTGCCCTTCCTGCTGAACTCTCTCTCTCGCCCCCAAGAGTACAGCTTATTTTTAAGAAGTGGCTGCTGACTTCAGTTTATGTATATTTTATGATTTATTGAAGTAATGCACTGCACTGTAGCACTGTCCTCCTGTTCATTAATTTGCTCGAGCGGGCACCAGTTAAGTCTCCATTGTGAGACTTGTTACTGTGTTTGGCATATCGAATATGTCACGGGTAGCTTGCCAGGCTCTGCCATGGGGATGAGATACTCTCAGTAGCTTGCCAGGCTCTCTGAGAGGGGCGGAGGAATCGAACCTGGGTTGGCCCTTCCAGTTTCCAGGAAAAAGACAGGGACACAAACTACAAGGCAAACACCCTACCCTCTGGGCTATTGCTCCAGCCTGCTATATCAAATTGATAACATTCTGTAATCTTCAGTTGCACATTATTATAAATCAACATCCATATGAACTAAATTATATTTACTGCATGAAATCCTTAGCCGTACAGTTGTTCCCATTTACTTCATTTCTAGCCTTTGCCCCTTCCCTTCTGATAACCAATAATTTGGTCTTATATGCTTTATTTATTTTTTAAATTTATTTTTATCTATTTTTAGATCAGTTATTTGTATCATTTGTGTACCATATATCAATGAAGTCATACTTCAGTGTTTGGACCTCCAGCCTACCTATCTTGACTAGAATTATAGGATTCCATCTTTATTTTAAAGTTGTATGGCATTTTATTGTGCAGATACACCACATTATCTTTATATAATTGTATCTCTTGATGGGCACTTAGGTTCTTTTGCAACTTGCTTTTAAATGATTCAGCAAAGACAATATGTACACATAAAGTTGATATGACAGGATGTTAGTAGTTATTGAATCGATGTGGTAGATATGTGTGTATTTGTACAATTTGTTCCTCTTCCCTGTATACTTGGGATAAAAGTTATTCTGTAATAAAACGTTGGAGAAAGCCAAAATGACAGTTGCTGAATTATTTAAAAATGTCTTCATCTTGGTGCACAGGCTATCAAAGTAAATGTGGGTTTATAGGAAGAAAGAGGAGAGCAGGATTTATGTTGGTATCCTCTTAAACCCATGTAACCTCACATTTGAACACCACCTGAAAATAATTGAGCATCAGAATACATTTCTGCTATAACGTTACATCTTTAATTGTGATTCTTAAAAATTGAAATTTATTCACTTTGGCCACACATTACTGCCTCACCCAGGTAGCAGGCGAAGCCTGGTGGAGGGCATGCCGTAGTTTCACCCTACAGATCCATGGGAAGAGTATTACAGCTATGCATGTTTCCTGAAAGAGTTGAGTAGTTGGAAGGTCCGACCTTTGTAATGATCTTTCTAACCGCCTCCTCAATCCCAGGATGCCTTTCCAGCCCTCTGTGGCAATTACTTTGCTGTCTGCTCATCCTGAGCACTGTTTTAGCTCCCACCATTGACAGTGGATGACAGACTCCGTTTCTGTCTTTGTGCATGACACCTCTTTTAGGTGTGTTACTTTAGTATGCACTGAGCAAAAGAGAAATATGAGTTCACACTCCTGGACAATACTCTGGGTAATACTGGGCCCTGGAAGGACACGTGAAGTCTCGGGGAGCTCTAGGAAATATAGGATCCCAGATTTGGTGAGTCTCGGCATATTACCAAGAAAGAAGTCATTTACACACCATAGAGAGAAAAAGCTAAAACCCTCACATAG